ACTGGAAGAACACGATTCGTTTTTAACGAAGAGTCTTGCATTAGCAGCAGTAATAGTTACTGTTTAGAGATTCACTTTTCCTCCCCGAGAGCTCAAACGAAATAATTTTTTAGGAGCATGTATATATTGTCATCCACAGACAAACTGTAGAAAATTGAGTAAGAAAAATACCCAAATTTTATTTCGAATAGTTTTTATTTTACCAAGTACTTTCAATCTCATCTGTGACAATCTTCAGGGGAATTAAGTTTTTAATTAAGATTAAAATTATACATACTCAGAGACCCCTGAGATTGAAAGTACTGGGGAAAATAAAAAGTCTTCGAAAGAAAATGTTGGTATTTTTCTTACTTGGGAAAGATATGAATCCTCTTCTTCTTCCTCCAGCTATGGGTAAATAGCAGGACAGATTGGGTTCTATAGCCTTGGATGGCAACTGGTCTAGTAGAAGGATAACTCTGAATTCAAAACCTGCCGAGGGTCGTTTGGGACCTTGTGGCTTGTAGTGCACCAGGTCTCTGTATTCGGGCCTTCAAAAAGTGTGGATGGTTCTGCATAACGCATTCACCACTCACTATAATCAAATTTCATGTGCTGGTGTTGGGCTGTCGGTCGGGCAGACCCCTTGACCCTCATACGTATATATATATATATATATATATATATATATATATATATATATATATATATATATATATATATATATATATATTATATAAGGCACACTGAAAAGACTAAAAACATCCACGCTGCTTGAAAATAATCAACCAACAGCGAATTGTCTAGAGAAAAGAAAGTGTGGGGGGTAAACACCGACAGAGTAAACTAACTTAAAACGTAAAAAGTGCTCAATACACTAAGTAGAAAAAAACTAAAAAAACCTAACGAGCAGAACCCATCTTCCCACGTTTCACATAACGGATTATCAGGATAACTCTGGAGCCAGATTTATCCTGATGATCCGTTAGGTGAAACCTTGAAGATAGGTTCTAACTCGTTAGGCTTTTTTTTTTTAGTCTTTATATATATATATATATATATATATCAAAGGTAAAACCTAATGGATCCATCTTAATATTTTATATCCTACTTGGATTATCCTTTCCACTTACGTATTTGATATATATATATATATATATATATATATATATATATATATATATATATATATATATATAAGTGTGTGTGTGTGTGTGAAAATATATAGAAAATAGGAAAGAACTCGTTAGGTAAATAATCCTTTAGTTCTTTAGTATTTTTGTTATTATTTAAAAAAAAACAGTACTCGATACAAAAGTAGAGCCTAAATATAATTATTTCTTTAAAAATATGATTCCTTCGCTACATAAGAGTTCTCATGTTTCAAAACAAGTGCCGAAAACTTCAATATAATTATTTGAATTAAATTGAATTAAAGTACCAAGGTTTTCGGCTCTTGTTTTGAATCATGAAAACTCAAGGAATGAGAAGGAATCATATTTTTTAAATCAATAATTATATATATATATATATATATATATATATATATATATATATATATATATATATAAATATATATATATATATATAAATATATAAATATATATATATATATATATATATATATTTTTATATATATATATATATATAAAAAGAGAGAAATAGGTCGATGTATATAGAGAGAGATAGAGAAGGAGAAAGTGAGAGATTTATATATATATATATATATATATATATATATATATATATACCGGTGTAACAGCAAAATTGTCCTAATTTTAGATTAAGCTCTGAACCGTTCTATCTTAGAAATGATTAAAAATATCTTACTGGAATTCTCCGAGGTTTTTATAACACTAATGTACTCTACTTTGAGCAATAAGAATGTATAATTACTCCCCAAACTTAACAGAATAATCCTGATGAAATCGATCATAAACGAAAATGATATGGTGATCGTTAATTACTCATGGCTAAGGATCGGAAGTTCACACACACACACACACACATATATATATATATATATATATATATATATATATATATATATGAGTAAAGTATATTTAGGCAGAAAGTATTCATCCAAACGAATTTGATTTAAAAGAATCGACGTTTAATTTTTATAGTTTTGAATAAGTTATTGCGTATTCTGCTCCAAGTTGTGGATAAGCTGTCCGAAATTCATGTTCAAGTCTTTTCGACCATTGCTGTAATTTTTAAGGGTCCAGTATGGTGTCTGTATGGTAGTTGGAATTCCTTGTTTACATCCTGGTGTTCTTTGGAAAGTTATTCGCACCTTGTCCTTCAAATGGCCCACGAGGTGGCGCTGTTGTAAACCGTAACAGCGATAAACCGAAAAGGTATTAGTAAAAACAGCCGGCTCCTCTCCGCTGAGGAAAGTTATCTTCTTCTGGCTTATTGTCAGCCGGGCCCATGACGCATCATATATTTTCTTACAACAAAGCCTGCAAAAGTTTTTTCTCCCTTTTACAGCTACACATTGCAGGAGTTCATAAGTTCGCCTATCGCCCGGATCACACTCCTCCCCGATCTTTCAAACAGGAGTTTTATCCTTTGCTAGTAATTCAGGATCGGGTTTCCGGTTCCTTCTAAAGTCTACTTTAACTCTATACTTCTAACGTCTCTGCTTAAACTCTGAAATTGTATTTACTATTTATCTTTTATTTTAATTTTTTATTTATATACATTTTTCGTAACCGGAGTAGATATTTTCTACTATTGCCCGGTTCACACTCCTCCCCGGTCTTTTAAACAGTAGAGGTTTATCTCGTTTCCTCTTTAGGATAGCGTTTCGGCTTCCTTCTAAAGTCTACTTCAGCTCTATACTTCTAACGTCTCCAACTAAACTCTGAAATTCTATTTATTTTTCTCCCTCAATAAGAGTAGATAGGTTCGTCTATCGTTCGGTTCACACTCCTCCCCAGTCTTTTGAACAGGAGTAGAAGGTTATCCCTTGTTTCCTGTTTAAGATTGGGTTTCCGGTTCTTTCTAAACTCTACTTCAACTCCATAATGTTAACGTCTCTACCTGAAACTCTAACGTTTTATTTACTACTAGCAGTAGAGCCCAGCGTTGCCCGGGGATGTAACAGTCAGAGATAGATCAAGTATCGATCATCATAAAGACTGAAAAATAAAATTGACAAAGATTATTGTTTAAGGTTGACGGACACGCATGTCTTAATTAGTTTTTTTTTTGTTGTTGTATTTTTTTGGGTTTTTTTTACGAATTGGTCAAACACAAACAAAAACATTGTTTTCAATCGTTATGAGTCTACCGATTGAATAGAATTTTATTATAAACAATTGTCTTGTAAATGGAATTTTTAAAGCATTCTAAATGTAAAAATAAAGAAAAAAGTGTGCAAGACAATAAGAAACACTACCTGCCAAAAAAAGTGAAGTTTTGAAATTGGTTGAAAAATGTAAGAAATTCGATCCTATATATAAACGAACACACACACACACACACACACACACACACACACACACACACACACACACACACACACACACACAACCTGGGTTTTATAAGTATAACTCGATATGAGTTGTCCCCCTTTCATTCCCGCGTCAGCGATGTCTCTTAATCGTGTTTTCAAATTGATTTCGTGCAAAAACAATTGTGTTTTTCCAATTTTTGGCACTGTCAGAACCACCGCAAGGTAATTTTACGCAGTCCTGTGAAGTTTTGTTAAAATCGGTTGAAAAATGTAGGAAATCCGATCCAATATATAAACGAACAGACACACACACAACCTGGGTTTTATAATAAGCATGATTTATTTTTCTTCAACGGGAGTAGATATGTTTGCCCGTCGTCCACTTCATACTCCTACCTGATATTTTAATAGGGTTAGAGGCTTAGGCCTTGTTTCCTGTTTAGGATTGGGTTTCCGGTTCCTTCTATAGACTTTTCATTCTTTTTTACTCACAGTAGTCTTTTGTGTTTTACTGGCATTATCGCCTTACATGGGGTGAATTGATAAAAAAATAGCCCATTTTGGGCCTAGTCTGACTCTTGTAAAGATAATCACAGAAGGATTCAGATACTTTCCCGGGGGATAGAATAAGCTGACCCTTTATCCAGTATCTTTAACAATGGGTTTTATATATGAGTTCCACTGAGATCTGAAATGAACTTAAGACACATACAGGTTCAAAATATGATGTCTCATTGGGAATGCAACCGACATACACAAAATGGTGCTGCAAACCATCTGCATTGTTTTATGCTCGTGTATTTCTCGGTGGCAAATATAAAGCGACCCTCCATTGTGAATTGTTGACAAGAAACTAGTTCTGTTAACAATCGGTTGCTTTTTGTTGTGTCCTCACGATCAGCAAATTTAAACCCCATTCAGCATGTACTAGACATGTTGCTAACTTCAATAAATTCCCTGCAGGATAAAATTAGGTTTCCTGCTCCTTCTAAAGTATTTTCATACTCTTTCATACTCAGTAGCCCCCCTTGCGTCTTAGTGACATTATCGCCTTGCTTGGGGTGAATTGATTAAAACGCGCGCGCACACACAACTATATTTCCTCTTTTCTTCTATTGTCATTATTTATATAAAAATATACATGCAAAATTCCTTCACCGGCTGAAATTTATTCATTTGAAACCTCAACCCTGTTTGAAGCCTCAACCCTGTCCATTAGAATCAAATTGTACCCACTTATATGGTTTAGGGATACACGTCTTACTAATTAACCCATAGCTGGGGAGGAAGGGATGGATTCATACCTTTCTCAATGGTAATATGTGCGTAAGTGAATATAACGAACCCAGCTAGAATTGGAACTCAGCTCTCCGATTAACAATTCTATTCCATTACCCCACCCACTCATTCAAGCTCAGAGTACCTGGTATTACCAATTGGTTACCCATCTAGGTACTGACCAGGCTCGACGTTACTTAACGTCGGTGATCGTACATGAACCAGTGTTTCAACGTGATGTCGAGGAAAGCACATTACTCCACCTTCACATCTAAGCTTATAGCAAGTGGTATTCCCAAGCAGTCACCTATATTGGTACTGACCAGGCTCAACGTTGCTTAACGTTGGTGATCGTACGTGAATCGGAGTTTCATCGTGATGTCGACGCAAGGACATTACTCCACCCGCGCATTCAAGCTTATAGCAAGTTGTATTCCCAAGCAGTCACCCATCTTGGTACTGACCAAGCTCGACGTTGCTTAACGTCAGTGATCGTACAAGAACCGGTGTTTCAACGTGATGTCGAGGTAAGCACATTACTCCACCCTCACATCGAGGCTTATAGCAAGTGGTATTCCCAAGCAGTCACCCATCTTGCTCGACGTTGCTTAACGTCTGTGATCGTATGTGAAACGGTATTTCAATGTGACATTGAGCATGCTCATTACTCCTCCCGCACATCGAAGCTTATAGAAAGTTGTATTCCCAAGCAGTCACCCATCTTGGTACTGACCAGACTCGACATTGCTTAACGTCGGTGATCGTACATGAACTGGTATTTCAACGCGATGTCGAGGTAAGCACATTACTTCACCCGCACATCGAGGCTTAAAGCAAGTGGTATTCCCAAGCGGTCATCCATTTAGGTACTGACCAAGCTCGACGTTGCTTAACGTCGGTGATCGTATGTGAACCGGTATTTCAACGTGATGTCGAGCAAGCACATTACTCCTCCCGCACATCGAACCTAAGAATAACTGGTATTCCCAAGCTGTCACCCATCGAGGTACAGAACAGGCTTGACGTTACTTAACTTCGCTGATTGTACCCTGTTTAGTTAATGATTTGAATACATTGTTACACATTAATTAGTCAGTTGTAAAGATAGAATTTACTTTCTCTCATAACGCACAGGCAAGGGTAATGTAGGTGGCTGAAAAACAGTTGGTATTTAGCGGTCGTACAGAATACGCACTGCTATTATTTACCCTTAAATATCTAGAACAAAAAACGCGTATTACAGACGAATAACCGCGGTATTTATTTCAATTTTGAAGTGCGTAAGATTATTTAGTTCTCGTGTATACTACGCACCCCAACTTGTAAGTTTAAAAAATCGTTTTGCGATCGTTTACTGAAAGTGAGTGGCTAGATTTTGATGTGATGCACATCACATAAAGTAATTCCGGTATAGGTAAACATCCCCGCCTCCTACGAGAAAGTATGCGGAGTTTTAAAGACTATCTTGCATTGAAGCTATGAACTAACATAATTTGAAGCGTCAGACAATTAGAGTCTGTTGGATGGTACCGGAAATGGAAAAGACTTTAGATGGAATCGGAAATCCACTCCTAAACATGAATCAAGAGATAAAACTCTGTTAAAAAAAATAAATAAATAAATAAAAATAATAAAATAAAACAAAATAAATAAATAAAATAAAAAATGGAGAAGTGTGTGAACCGGGCGATACTTTGTGTCCTTATTATTATAGTCTCGCATCGATTTCGTCCGGTTAACTGATATTTCTGCCACATTCAAAGTTTGTGGGGGGGGGTGGTTAATACTAACACTAATTTTGTTTAGTTTCTTGTAAATATATTTCGACATATTGTATATACTCATTGGAGATTTTTTAAAAGTTGTTGTTTTTTATGCCCCCCTCCCCCACAGACAATATTTGTACATAAGGGGTGTATTTAGGTTTTTCATTGAGTCAAAGAGGCATTTTGGTGGATGTAGTAAGAAAGGTATGGATGAATGTGTTGTTTTGGTGATTGGAATATTGTTTAGTATGATAGGGTCAGTGATTGTGGCTAGCTAAGTTTTATTTTAAGACAAGTGATGACCGTCCTTTTCCCCAGCCCCCTTTTCGGCCTTGTGCCACATTTGTACATAGTACAATAAATAATGAACCGGGCGATACTTAAACTTATCTCCTCCTGTATCTGTCCTTATTTCTGAGATGAACAACTGTACATTATTGTACTATTGTCCTCATCTTTGTCGCCATATTTATTACAATGTTTTGGCCTTTCAGTATCTGTCTATATTTCTGAGATGAGGTATTATGTACATTATTTACATTATTCGGACTATTGTCCTCATCTTTGTCGCCATATTTATTACAATGTTTTGGCCTTTCAGTATCTGTCTATATTTCTGAGATGATGTATTATGTACACTATTTACATTATTCGGACTATTGTCCTCATCTTTGTCGCCATATTTATTACAATGTTTTGGCCTTTCAGTATCTGTCTATATTTCTGAGATGAGGTATTATGTACATTATTTACATTATTCGGACTTTTGTCCTCATCTTTGTCGCCATATTTATTACAATGTTTTGGCCTTTCAGTATCTATCTATATTTCTGAGATGATGTATTATGTACACTATTTACATTATTCGGACTATTGTCCTCATCTTTGTCGCCATATTTATTACAATGTTTTGGCCTTTCAGTATCTGTCTATATTTCTGAGATGAGGTATTATGTACACTATTTACATTATTCGGACTATTGTCCTCATCTTTGTCGCCATATTTATTACAATGTTTTGGCCTTTCAGTATCTGTCTATATTTCTGAGATGAGGTATTATGTACATTATTTACATTATTCGGACTATTGTCCTCATCTTTGTCGCCATATTTATTACAATGTTTTGGCCTTTAAAGTATCTGTCTATATTTCTGAGATGAGGTATTATGTACATTATTTACATTATTCAGACTTTTGTCCTCATCTTTATCGCCATATTTATTACAATGTTTTGGCCTTTCAGTATCTGTCTATATTTCTGAGATGATGTATTATGTACACTATTTACATTATTCGGACTATTGTCCTCATCTTTGTCGCCATATTTATTACAATGTTTTGGCCTTTCAGTATCTGTCTATATTTCTGATATGAGGTATTATGTACACTATTTACATTATTCGGACTATTGTCCTCATCTTTGTCGCCATATTTATTACAATGTTTTGGCCTTTCAGTATCTGTCTATATTTCTGAGATGAGGTATTATGTACACTATTTACATTATTCGGACTATTGTCCTCATCTTTGTCACCATATTTATTACAACGTTTTGGCCTTTCAGTATCTGTCTATATTTCTGAGATGAGGCATTATGTACACTGTTTACATTATTCGGACTATTGTCCTCATCTTTGTCGCCATATTTATTACAATGTTTTGGCCTTTCAGTATCAGTCTATATTTCTGAGATGAGGTATTATGTACATTATTTACATTATTCGGACTTTTGTCCTCATCTTTGTCGCCATATTTATTACAATGTTTTGGCCTTTCAGTATCTGTCTATATTTCTGAGATGATGTATTATGTACACTATTTACATTATTCGGACTATTGTCCTCATCTTTGTCGCCATATTTATTACAATGTTTTGGCCTTTTCAGTATCTGTCTATATTTCTGAGATGAGGTATTATGTACACTATTTACATTATTCGGACTATTGTCCTCATCTTTGTCGCCATATTTATTACAATGTTTTGGCCTTTCAGTATCTGTCTATATTTCTGAGATGAGGTATTATGTACACTATTTACATTATTCGGACTATTGTCCTCATCTTTGTCACCATATTTATTACAACGTTTTGGCCTTTCAGTCTCTGTCTATATTTCTGAGATGAGGCATTATGTACACTATTTACATTATTCGGACTATTGTCCTCATCTTTGTCGCCATATTTATTACAATGTTTTGGCCTTTCAGTATCTGTTCATATTTCTGACATGAGGTATTATGTACACTATTTACATTATTCGGACTATTGTCCTCATCTTTGTCGCCATATTTATTACAATGTTTTGGCCTTTCAGTATCTGTCTATATTTCTGAGATGAGGTATTATGTACATTATTTACATTATTCGGACTTTTGTCCTCATCTTTGTCGCCATATTTATTACAATGTTTTGGCCTTTCAGTATCTGTCTATATTTCTGAGATGATGTATTATGTACACTATTTACATTATTCGGACTATTGTCCTCATCTTTGTCGCCATATTTATTACAATGTTTGGCCTTTTTCAGTATCTGTCTATATTTCTGAGATGAGGTATTATGTACACTATTTACATTATTCGGACTATTGTCCTCATCTTTGTCGCCATATTTATTACAATGTTTTGGCCTTTTCAGTATCTGTCTATATTTCTGAGATGAGGTATTATGTACACTATTTACATTATTCGGACTATTGTCCTCATCTTTGTCACCATATTTATTACAACGTTTTGGCCTTTCAGTCTCTGTCTATATTTCTGAGATGAGGCATTATGTACACTATTTACATTATTCGGACTATTGTCCTCATCTTTGTCGCCATATTTATTACAATGTTTTGGCCTTTTTCAGTATCTGTCTATATTTCTGACATGAGGTATTATGTACACTATTTACATTATTCGGACTATTGTCCTCATCTTTGTCGCCATATTTATTACAATGTTTTGGCCTTACAGTATCTGTCTATATTTCTGAGATGAGGTATTATGTACACTATTTACATTATTCGGACTATTGTCCTCATCTTTGTCACCATATTTATTACAACGTTTTTGGCCTTTCAGTCTCTGTCTATATTTCTGAGATGAGGCATTATGTACACTATTTACATTATTCGGACTATTGTCCTCATCTTTGTCGCCATATTTATTACAATGTTTTGGCCTTTCAGTATCTGTCTATATTTCTGACGAGGTATTATGTACACTATTTACATTATTCGGACTATTGTCCTCATCTTTGTCGCCATATTTATTACAATGTTTTGGCCTTACAGTATCTGTCTATATTTCTGAGATGAGGCATTATGTACACTGTTTACATTATTCGGACTATTGTCCTCATCTTTGTCGCCATATTTATTACAATGTTTTGGCCTTTCAGTATCTGTCTATATTTCTGAGATGATGCATTATATAAACTGTTTACATTATTCGGACTATTGTCCTCATCTTTGTCGCCATATTTATTACAATGTTTTGGCCTTTCAGTATCTGTCTATATTTCTGAGATGAGGCATTATGTACACTGTTTACATTATTCGGACTATTGTCCTCATCTTTGTCGCCATATTTATTACAATGTTTTGGCCTTTCAGTATCTGTCTATATTTCTGAGATGAGGCATTATGTACACTGTTTACATTATTCGGACTATTGTCCTCATCTTTGTCGCCATATTTATTACAATGTTTTGGCCTTTCAGTATCTGTCTATATTTCTGAGATGATGTATTATGTACACTATTTACATTATTCGGACTATTGTCCTCATCTTTGTCGCCATATTTATTACAATGTTTTGGCCTTTCAGTATCTGTCTATATTTCTGAGATGAGGTATTATGTACATTATTTACATTATTCGGACTTTTGTCCTCATCTTTGTCGCCATATTTATTACAATGTTTTGGCCTTTCAGTATCTATCTATATTTCTGAGATGATGTATTATGGCCATTATTCGGACTATTGTCCTCATCTTTGTCGCCATATTTATTCAATGAGATCTGTCTATATTTCTGAGATGTGGTATTATGTACACTATTTACATTATTCGGACTATTGTCCTCATCTTTGTCGCCATATTTATTCAATGTTTTGCCTTTTCAGTATCTGTCTATATTTCTGAGATGAGGTATTGTACATTATTTACATTA